TACGAAAGTAATGTTCATCCCGTCCCCGTACGGGTCACTGTTCACGCCGTCGCCGGTTTCACTGTTCACCAGTGATCGGCCGCCGTTCCCCGTTGTCGTGACCTCAGGTTAAGTGAGCAAAATTCCTAAACCTGGATTAGGACTGATAGTGCGATTTTTTGGGTATTATCGGTGTATTTTGGACAGGCTTGGGTAGTATCAGTGTGTAATTCGGACTGGACTGAGGATGGTTTGGTGGAAATAAAATCCGAGAAAATTAGTGGGATTATTACGGATAATTACTGCGCCCGGATTGAGGAAATAGCGGCTGTCCATATTTTTTAGGAATGTACCGGATTATAATGGACAGCAAGAATTATTAGCTGAATGGCCGGGATTACCCAGAATGATTGGATGTCGATTGATTGGTGATCAATTATGTTTAATTGTGAATGCCATATTGCGTGCTTGTGTGGCTGAATCGTGCGGAGTGTGATTGGCCAATTGATGGCTTGAATTGTGTATTTGGAATTGGGCCGCACGATATTAATAGGCCAAGTAAGCACGTGGCTTGTGAATTAGGCACTGTGGAATGACTCTGATTGAACTGTGTGCCTGTGCCTATGTTATGTGGATGCTTATGTTGCATTTCATGGCACGCATTATGAATGCCGAGAATGAGGGTTGTGATGAAATTGTGTGAGACTGCGTGCCTGTCATGAGCATGTGATCACCTAAAATACCCTGATGCTTGTTACGCGGGGTTCAGATAATAATGGGTTGTGTGATCACCTAAGGGCCTTCGGGTCGTGACCTTCGGGTCGATACCGTCCTCATGCACTTTGAAGCAGGACGATGTCCGGTACGTCCGGAAGACGACCATCCTCATGCACTTTGAAGCAGGCTCTGGTTCGTAAGGAGATCAGTGTTGCGCCTCATGCACTTTGAAGCAGGCTAGAGACACTGGGCTAGATCGGTTGCTGCGTCTCATGCACTTTGAAGCAGGCTAGCACACCGGGCCGTGAAAGTTGTTGACTCGAGTCGTAATGAATAATAAATTGGGCGATTGCCAGTGTGCTAGTGTGGGCCAGTGGGCCGGAAAATGCATGTGACATGTCCACGACATTTGCATGCATGAACATGCATGGACTGGCATGCGAAAGTGTGAGAATCGGTGCATGAGCATGTGATTGGCGTACATGTGATAATGTGTGCCACGTATGTGCCGTAATTGTTATATATATATTGAATTGTCTAACCTGCAGGGTCAGAGAATCATTGATTGTTGTTGTGTTATGATTTCTAAGTATTTGTTTCCGGTCAGGAGATTGCATGCTAGCCTAACCTAGGTTTAGGGGTTGAACTCGCTGAGATTCGTCTCACGGTTGTGTAAACCGAAACTTTTCAGACCCCCAGCCGTAGGATGCCAATGACATCACCTCTTTTTGGGATACCGCATTCTATCCAGCGGTCGTCAAGCATGCACCCCGGTGGAGACGGAGCAGAAATGAGAAGTGGCTGTTTGGTTATTCCCAGCTGTAGGTGTTTCCTTTTTGGTTGTAGTGAACGCTGTAAAAAGAGTTTTAAAATAGTAATATAAGTATGTACATATTTTCTGCGTTGATCGTTGTTTATTGCTTGGCTATCCTTGGCTCGTATTTTATTAATGTCAGGGTTTGTTTATTTCTTCCGCTTGTGCTTGATCTCTGTTGGGCGTTGGGTCGGCGACGTTTCCTGGGACGTCGCAGTTTGTGGACCGATGTAGGGATGTTGCGTGCCGTGGGGTACGGGGCGTGACATGATATATATGGCGTACGTCTTTGATCAGTACTCCGGTAGTTGCAGAAGCTTCTTCGTCTCTGTTTGATGTGCGTGCGCGCGAGAGAGAGAGAGAGAGAGAGAGAGAGAGAGAGAGAGAGAGAGAGAGAGAGAGAGAGAGAGAGAGAGAGAGAGAGAGATTCTTGAAGAGATTCTTGGGTTGTACGCATTTGGGGAAATTACCAAAAAAGTCCTAAACCTTTTTGTAATTATGCCAATTCAATCCTAAATCTTTTTTTTGGCCAATTCAGTCCTAAATCTTTTGTAATCGTGTCAATTCAGTCTATCCGGCCACTTTTGGCCGCCAGCGCTGACGTGGACACTGGCCGGGGCTGGCCCTCCGGCTGATGCTAACGTGGCAATTTTTAAATATTTTTTTTCGATTTTTTAAAACTTTTTCTCTCTCTTTTTTTGTCCTATCTTTTGGCCAGTCGCCAGTCATTGGACTGGCGATCGGCCAGAGGCTGAGGTCGGCGAGGCTTGCCGGCCATGGGTGAGGCTGGCCCTCGCCGTTGCCAAGCGAGGTCGAGCGGTAGCCATGGCGAGGTTGCTTGACCTTGCCCAGATTTGGGGGAGGCCGAGCGGCCTCGCCATGGCTGCCGCTCAACCTCGCCCAAATCTGGGCAAGGTCAAGCGGCCTCGCCGTTGCCCAGATCTGTGGCGATGGCGAGGTCAAGCAACCATGGCGAGGCCACTTGACCTCACCCAAGCCTCGCCATGGCCGTCGCTCGACCTCGCCGTCACCCAGATTTGGGGGAGGTCGAGCGGCCTTGCCATGGCCGCTACTTGACCTCGCCATCGTCCAGATCTGTGACGATGTCGCCGTCGTCCAGATCTGTGACGATGGCGAGCAGCCATGGTGAGGCCGCTTGACCTCGCTGGCCTTAGCCTCTGGCCGGTCACTGGATCGGCGACTGGCCAGAAGATAAGGAAAAAAAAGAAAGAAAAAAGTAAAAAAAAAATGAAATTTTTTTTTAAAAATTGCCACGTCAGCATCGGTCGGAGGGCCAACGTTCACGTCAGCGCTGGCCGCCCAAAAGTGGTTGGATGGATAAAATTGGCACAATTATAAAAGGTTTAAGACTGAATTGACCAAAAAAAAAAGGTTTATGACTGAACTGACACAATTGTAAAAAGTTTAGGACTTTTTGGGTAATTTCCCCTATGCATTTTGGTGGAGTTCTGAAGTGTTTTTCAGAGTCTACCATCGTCAACTCCACTCGGCAGGAATTTCTTTCCATGGAGCATGAGCGTACTGTATAACTCTTTTTTTTTTTATGACTTTTACATTTAATTATGAAGAATTATCGTAATATCAAAAAACATTTTCATGACATTTTAGACTTTTGATTGCGAAAATATGTCATTTTGTTTTGTACAAAGCGCCCCCCACTAGTAGGGGTGGGGTGGGGTGGGGCAGGTCGAGTCGAGTCGGGTTGGGTTGGGCTTTCATGATTCCCTACTCGACCCTAAACCTATAGGGTTGTGCCCCGACCCTCCCCGAGACCTTGTTCAGCATACACCCCAAAGAGACGAATCGGGTCGGGCCGGACCGGGTCGACTTTAATTCCTCCTCTGCTTTATTTCTCTTGCAAAGTCCTCTCTGTCCTAAATGTGGCTTTCGGTTCTTGAGCCTCCTCGTTCACATGCCAAACCGTTCAACTACCCCAACAAGTTTTTTATCAAGAAATCTATCTTCATGCTCATCACCCACATCTTGATGTTTGAGACCCATGTCTCCAATTCTCAATGAGATCCTTCTCTGTGGGTATATAATCTCCTCTTCATTCAGGCGCAGGACCCACCTTGTTCAATCCTTCTCGGTTGTCTTCCTTTACTGGCTCTACTGTGTCTCAAGATTCAACCCTCTACTGGCGCACAAAACACTTCAGTTTGTATCTGCATCAATGGCATCTCCTTGTGGGACATCTTCAGGGTCGTCCCTGGTTCAGAACTCAGCCCCGAGGAGGAATTGCAGGTTGTCATGGACCAGAGGAAGAGGATGTTCTGGAACCATGAGTCGGCGGGGCTGTCCCAGATGAGGAAGCAGAAGCACCTGGACGATTTGAGGGCTCAGATCGCTCAGCTGAGAAAGGAGAACCGCCAGATAGGGACCAACATCAACATCACCACACAGTGTGGAGTTGAAGGAAGCGAACGATGAGAGAGGCAAGGGCTATTAGTCGCCTGAAGTCCACGGCGAGCAGAGGGGCGATTGGTTCCATCGTCGATCATTTGGCTTAGATCTAGGCTTTGGTCACGCAAAGAGAGAGACCAGAGAGAAGGCGGGAGAGAGAGAGGGAGATGTGTGAATGGTCCCGAGGTGTCAATGGGTTGGCCCTGACCCAATCCCAACCCTAACAATACCGGCACTTAAAAGCCTTATCCAAAGAAGACTAAGGCCCAACCCCAAAATTTAGGATCGGGTCGGGCTGGGCTGGCGCAGGTTTTTTTGACACCCCTACCAACTAGACGTGCCAAAAGGCTCGTCCCATATACACAGTCTATATTTTTTTTTTCTATTTCTAATTGAAAAAAATTTATTTCAATCGTATCTTTGATTAACGGATTATAAATTATTATCATCGTCCACAAGCAAACTTAAATGAAATAAAAATGGATAATGTGCATGTTTATTACTACTCATCAATAGATATACAATTGGAAAGTCCTCCAACTCAATATTAAGATCCCCCACACACAGCCCCTCCCCCCAACCGCCGACCCAAACCCCCCACACCTCCCCCCCCCCCATGTATATATTACTCATCTATTGTCTACGAAATGATATTTCAAATGGCCCTTTTTTGGTTAGTGAAAATGTTTTCAAATTTCCATTTTCATTGGAAATGAAAATTATGTTTCAATTTTCATGAAAACTCATTTGGCATATGAACATGAGAATTATCTGTTGGAATAAAAAAATTATGAACACCTCCCGATTCCCTTTTCTCAATCATCATCCATGAGCGATAAGATGTACTCTTCACTGTCTCATTGCATATGTTCTTCTCAGTAACAAAGAAAGAAAATTTAGACTTCGCTCACCAAAAGAAGATGGAGTCAACACCAAAGTTGAAGTTGAAGCCCGTGGTCGACAAGAGCAAGCAAAGAGTGGTTTTTGCGGAAGCAGGAAAGAATTTGTGGACTTCCTCTTCCACGTCCACGCCTTGCCGATCGTGACTCTCGCACACACTCAAGCCATGAAAGCCGACTCCATGGACGGCAGCTTGGGCAATCTTTACAGGAGCATTGAGGACTTAGAGTATGTGTACTACATGATGCCCCACCACAAGCAGAGCCTCTTGAAGCCCAAATACCCAACCGGGGTTCAAACATCACATTACGGTAGGAAGGTCGCCTACGACCCTTCCGCGAAATGTCCTCGTTGTGACGCCATCATGGACCGAAGAGTGGATTTCGTTGAAGTGCCAGCCAGGGAGAGTGGTTACGTGAAAGAGCTGGTGAAGTATGCGGTGATGGACGATCTGGTGGTGAAGCCAATGACTACTGACTCACGCATCGCCATGTTGAAGGACAAGGCTGCCATGATTGTGGACAAATTTGTTGATTTTGGGGTGAACGAGGTAAGCCGAATCGAACTACATTTCTTTTCCCGGCTAGTTCTTGGTTGAATGCTTTTTTTTTTTTCTGTCTTTCACCCCATGTATGGCGTTTCTCACAACTAATCTAATTGGTGAGTACTGGACTAAAGAGCCTCGAACAAAATTCAGACGATATACGTGGTCATGATTTCTTTAATTTCTTTCTCAGAATTTATAGTATGTTCAGTCGGAGACAATTAACATCGTACATGCCCTTTGGTGGTACTTTTGGCAGGGATAATTCTGTTGGAGGCATTGTTACGGTCCAAGATGGTTCTAACCGATGTCTTCCTTGGCAAGAAAGGTCGAAATGATTTTGCTACGAACAGGCCCATGTATTACAATACCCTAGCTTGTCTATAGCAATGCAGTAGTAACTGAGAAATTTTGGTGATACCTTATAATTACTTACTAATTGTGTGATTCTCGCACTTACCCGCAGACGTTTTCATTTTCTTTGGGATGGCAGTTCATAGTGGATTTATCAATTTCGTGAACCGACAGATCTATTCACGTAAAACACATTTGTGCAACTTGACAAGCATATGTACATTAGAGGCAACATATGTCTTCCACACCATAGGACCACAGATCAATCATCACCAGAAACTAATTTCTGAGTAAGTTCACATATACCAAAAAGGGACAAGTGCACCACAAGTCCTAAAACTTGTCACAAAAGTGCATTTGAGTCCTAAAACTTGTAAAAAGTTCAATTGAGTCCTAAAACTTGTCACAAAAGTGCATTTGAGTCCTAAAGTTAACACTGTTAAATATACTAACGGAAAACGCTGACGTGGCGCTGACTAATCATTTCTCTCTCCTACGTGGAAAATGGCTTAAGAAACAATATCCACGTATGCAAAATGACGTCGTTTTTGGTCGTCCCCCTCTTCTTCTTGAACGTCTGTCTTAACTTTCCCGTATCGTCTCGTTCCTTCTTCTTCTGAACGTCTCTCCGATCCATATGCTCCGATCAGCCTCTGCCGGAACAACATCTCTTCTTCTTCTTCTTCCCAAATCGAAGTCCTCTGAACCCCAAGCCCAGACTCGTCGTCGTCTTTCTCTCCATCTAAATGAAAATAACACTTGGTCTCCCTTTGAACCCTAAGCCCCAAATCAAGTTCGGCGATCTCGAGTTTCCTCGCGATTTGGGTCTCCTCATGAGTTAAAGTTCGACGCCCATCGTCATCTGTAGTTTAATTGCGATCTGGAGTTCGTAGAGTTCAAGTTCGAGTTATCTTCTTCGTCGATAGTGAGTTCGTGCGAAGACCTATCCTGCGAGGGTCTCGACAGCGGAACGAGCGGCTTCGACGACGACGACGGGAACTCCTCCTCACGCAGGTATCGCTCTATGCATTATAGCATTTGGGTATCGAGCGGCGTGTGTTTGTATCCCAGTTCTGTCAAGACCTGTGTGTTCGGAGCGATTCGATTTGCGTTGCGATGAGGTAGGATAGGGTAGGATAGCTATTTGCCCAAAGGCGCTCTCAAGTTGATGCACAATCAACTATTAGTAGTCATCCTTTGTGCTCATTATAATGCTTAAACCTCTACTGAAGAGCATGATGAGTCGACTGAGAGTGATGGAAACTCGAAGTGCTGCTTCCCGTATCTTCATAATTGATTCGGCAGACATGGGTTAGATTTTCCATTGATTGTAAAAGTTTAGGTTGGCTGGGATCAGTAGACATAAATTTAGCTTCGGAGTGTGCTGATGTACACACCCTTCTCGCAGTAGCCAAATCATACTATGCTATTTCGGAATGTGATTCAGCTACTTCTCCATTTTTATTTTTTTTGGTCAAAAGCTACTTCTCCACTGGTCATTGCAAGTTTAGAAAACTTTGTGCAGCAGAATGTGTTCTTCATCATCTAATTCGGTCATCGGTCTTGCTCCAAATATTTTATCTCTGCACTATTTTTTTACTTTTCACATGTTCATTGTTTTTGCAAGATTCTTTTCTGCTATGAAGTTCTTCTTCAAGCTGGAAAGTACTAAATTAAACAAGCTCAATTATGGTTTGAACACAAAGATGATGTTATTACAACCTTTACCAAATGACTTTGTGAATTGAAGGATGATATTTATGTCGCTCTCATTTCACCGGAGGAATTCCTAGACTGGAAAATTTTTGTATCGTAGCTTAAAACCTTTAATGAGATGTATCAAAGCTACAGATTGCCTATCTTTTCATTCCATTCCACATAGCCACACCTTTTCTCATTTGTTTTTCTGCTCTTTTCTCTCTTAGAGCATTTATTTGTGCGGTTAAGATTCTTTGTGAAATTGGGACTGAACTTTAACCCCTGTTTTCAACACATGAAGTTCAAACAGATAAGAAGTCCACCATGCTTTGACCCTTAATTTGCGTTGTGATTTGCGATGAGGTAGGGTAGGATAGCTGCTTGGGTTCCTAATTTCAGTTTGCAACCGCGTGAGAAATGGTTCTTGTCTCAAGTTCTTGATTGGTTTATGTGGAGCTTAGCCTTGACTCGTGATATTAGCTCCAAATGTTTCTCTTCTGGTCCTTATTAGTGAGTTGCTTTACCATATGGTGGAGATTTTGTGTGTCGAAAGATTGAGGAATTTTGATATACTTTTTGCGATGTATACTGCTGTCAGATTCTTCCTAGTTATATATGAAATTTTCAACTTTGTTATCGTTTCCTAGAGTTTCTTCTCAATTGACATATGATGCCAAGCATCAACCATTTCGAGAAAGATTGTGCTAACGTAGTTTGTTGTCTAAAGATATTGATAATATACTTATACCAGGAAAGAATCATAATAATGGTAATATACTTTTATTAGGTTCTTATAATATCACGACAAGAAGAATGAGGGTGCCAACATCTGAATCAAGTGGCGTAACTCCTAATGAGGTTGAGTCGGAGCCAACATGCTATTGTGGTCTTCAATCACCAATTCTTACCGCAAAGACAAGGAAAAGCGCAGGAAGAAGGTTCCATGGATGTGCTAAGTTTGATGGTCCGGGTTGCTGCGATTTCTTCACGTGGGTTGACCCGAAGATACCAGATCAAGCAAGGGACATGATAGTCGACCTCCTTGAAAGAAATCAAGCACTATGTGAACCAAGCCAATCGAGGTGTGACGAGGTCGATGTGAGCTCATTACTAACTAAAATGAAGACTCAAAGGGCGAAACATAAACGTTTAAAGGAGGAGCTCGCACAAGTAAAGAAAGAAAAGATGCTATATCAATTGGCATTCGTTCTATGCATGTGCTGCATGACTGCATTGGTTTTATGTAATGTTAAAGTTGGTGGGACTTTTCTAAGTCTTTCATAGTACCTTGTTTCTAAGTTAGTAAGTTTGTAAGACTGGTTGTGGGTAATTGAGATGGGAATGAAATCTAATGTGATCATGGATTATGTCCCTGTTGATCATATAGCAATGTTCAAGATTACCCTATTTTTCGATTGTTATGTTCGAGTAGTTTGTTCGCAATCTGAACTTCCATCTTGGATGGCCAAAATAGGCAATCTGATCAACCGACCATGCACTCATGCAATTTAATAACATTGTCATTGGCCAAAGTTGGTGCTAACATATTCTTAAACATAAATCCAATCATGAGAGTCAAGAAATTTCCAAAAAAGAGAGTAAAACACAGTCCCCCCCCAAAAAAAAATCCTTTCACATATAAACGTAAATGATGCGGGACGAGCCATGGGGATCATATTCTATTCGTAGGGTGATGAAATGTCAACTTTTTTCTTGTAAGGGTCATCGCATAATTGATAAGCAGTGGTCATCAGAAGATGCATACACCAAAAATGCGTGCAATCGTACCCTCCTCCAAGAGTCAATTTCGTCCCTTATACCTCTAAAACAAAAGGAAGGAATTTTCTAGCGGATGAGGATTTCATGATAGAAATCCTAAGAGTTAGCCCGTCTTTAAGAGTCGTACTTTCAGGAACTATGTAAAAGAGTTTCTCTATTTCACACACACCCAAAGCCTCAATAGCTTCAATTATACTAGACAGTGAACCATTACTTAAGCCTATTTCGACAACGTCAACCCTTCCACCTATGTATTCCAATGGCGGTCCAACTTGAAACTTACCTCCAAAGAAAATAGTGACATAAACTTTGTTCTCAGCCATTAGACCTACAAGGGAACAAAAACAAATAGTAAACTTGACTGAGTAGAAGAAAAATATTGATGATTTAACCGCACAAATAAATACTCTAAGAGAGAAAAGAGCAGAAAAACAAATGAGAAAAGGTGTGGCTGTGTGGAATGGAATGAAAAGATAGGCAATCTGTAGCTTTGATACATCTCTTTAAAGGTTTTAGGCTATGATACAGAAATTTTCCAGTCTAGGAATTCCTCCCGTGAAATGGGAGCGACATAAATATCATCCTTCGATTCACAGAGTCATTTGGTAAAGGTTGTAATAACATCATCTTTGTGTTCAAACCATAATTGAGCTTGTTTAATTTAGTACTTTCCAGCTTGAAGAAGAACGTCATAGCAGACAAGAATCTTGCAAAAACTATGAACATGTGAAAAGTAAAAAAAAGTAGTGTAGAGATAAAATATTTGGAGCAAGACCGATGACTGAATCAGATGATGAAGAACACATTCTGCTGCACAAAGTTTTCTAAACTTGCAATGACCAGTGGAGAAGTAGCTTTTGACCAAAAAAAAAATGGAGAAGTAGCTGAATCACATTCCGAAATAGCATAATATGATTTGGCTACCGCGAGAAGGGTGTGTACATCAGCACACTCCGAAGCTAAATTTATGTCTACTGATCCCAGCAAACCTAAACTTTTACAATCAATGGAAAATCTAACCCATGTTGCCGCAACAATTATGAAGATACGGGAAGCAGCACTTTGAGTTTCCATCACTCTCAGTTGACTCATCATGCTCTTCGATAGACATTTAAGCATTATACTGAGCACGGAGGATGACTACTAATAGTTGATTGCACATCAACTTGAGAGCGCCTTCGGACAAACAACTATCCTACCCTATCCTACCTCATCTTAAATCGCAACGCAAATCGAATCGCTCCAAACACACAGGTCTTGACAGAACTGGAATAGAAACACACGCCGCTCGATACCCAAATGCTATAATGCAGAGAGCGATACCTGCATGAGGAGGAGTTCCCGTTGCCGTTGCCATATCCGTCATCGAAGCTGCTCGTTCCGCTGTCGAGACCCTCGTAGGACAGGTCTTTGCACGAACTCGCTATCGACGAAGAAGATAACTCGAACTCGAACTCAAACTCTACGAACTCCATATCGTGATTAAACTCCAGATGACGATGGGCGTCGAACTTTAACTCGCAAGGAGACCCAAATCGCGAGGGAACTCAAGATTGTCGAACTTGATTTGGGGCTTAGGGTTCAAAGGGAGACCAAGTGTTGTTTTCGTTTAGACGGAGAGAAAGACGACGACGAGTCTGGGCTTGGGGTTTAGAGGACTTCGATTTGGGAAGAAGAAGAAGAGATGTTGTTCCGGCAGAGGCTGATCGGAGCATATGGATTGGAGAGACGTTCAGAAGGAAGGAGATGAAGGAGACGACGCAGGGGAAAGTTAAGACAGACGTTCAAGAAGAAGAGGGGGATGACCGAAAACGACGTCGTTTTGCATACATGGATATTTTTTCTTAGGGAAAATGCCACCAAAAACCCCAAACTTTGCTCATTGTGACACATTTACCCCAAACTTTTTTTTGTGACACCAAAAATCCCAAACTATGCCCGCTGTGACACATTTACCCTAAACTTTTTTTTGTGACACAAAAAACCCCAAACTATGATTATTGTGACATATTTACTCTCAGTTAGGGTTCGGTTAAAAATCAACGTTAAAATCTGACTGTGTCTCCGACATGGCGTCTGATGTGGCGCCACGTAACCGCCCAGTCAGAAAAAAAAAATCGACGTACTGTAATCGCTGTTACTGTTCATCGTCTTCGATGCGCTGTTCATCGTCTTCGAGCGCTCGTCCATCACTGCCCTCTGGCGCTTGTCCATCACTGCTCAGAGCCCCTGGACATTCGGCTATGTATAATTCATCTTTTGTATTTTCTTTCCTTTTTTTCTTTTGTTGGAATCTTCTTCCTTGTTCCTTTAGGGTTCATCTTTCTGGGTAAATACCTCCATTTTTCCTCTACTTTCATTAGTCAAATACTGGCAAAATCAATCCATAGACTTCGCCACTTTAATCACCGCTTCTCCAAACCTTGGAAATCTATCCACTGGAAGATTGGCAAATAATAGCCGATTGCACTGTCGTGACTCCAAGGCACGTTCCATGAAACGGCGAAATTCCGCGACTTCGAGAAAAAGAGGGAAATGGTTCAAGAGCTCCTGAAGTTTACTGGAAATGGGTTAAAGACATGGAGAGTAGCCCTAGTAGTGCAGAAGCTCGTGAGAAAGAGGAGGAATAGACCCAGATCTCGGCGAGCTCGGCCCCAAATAAAACACAAAATTGGGTTTAAGAGCCAGATCTTGTTCTTGAACATCGAGTAAGGCTCATAGTCACCGGACTGCTGCGACGACCTTAGAATCGAGGTGGCCGAGCAAGCCCCCACGTCCTCGATCCCAGGTCAGGAAGCATGGACAACCCCGATTGAGGTCGACGTCCACGGATGAGCGCTCGAAGATGATGAACAGTGCATCGAAGACGATGAACAGTAACAGCGATTACAGTACTCCGACTTTTTTTTTCTTTCTTAGGTTTAATTTTTATTTTTTATTTTTTCTGACTGGGCGTTCACGTGGCGCCACATCAGACGTCACGTCGGAGACACAGTCAAATTTTAACGTTGATTTTTAACCGAACCCTAACTGAGAGTAAATGTGTCACAATGATCATAGTTTGGGGTTTTTTGTGTCACAAAAAAAAGTTTAGGGTAAATGTGTCACAGCGGGCATAGTTTGGGATTTTTTGTGTCATAAAAAAAAGTTTGGGGTAAATGTATCACAATGGACAAAGTTTGGGGTTTTTTTGTGGTATTTTCCCTTTTTCTTAAGCCATTTTCCACGTAGGAGAGAGAAATGATTAGTCAGCGCCACATTAGCGCCATGTCAGCATTTTCCGTTAGTACATTTAACGGTGTTAACTTTAGGACTCAAATGCACTTTTGTGGCAAGTTTTAGGATTCAATTAAATTTTTTACAAGTTTTAAGACTCAAATGCACTTTTGTGACAAGTTTTAGGACTTGTGGTGCACTTGTCCCTAACAAAAACTAACTTTTACAACTGGGATTGAATAGCTTCATTAGCATCTTACAAACCAGCATGTATAAACTACCCCGGCAAGCTAATATATAACAAAGACTAGTTTCTAGAGTTAAAGAGCTGCGTTTCACTGATTCGTTCCCGCTGAATATGTCCGCGAGAAGCGTTTTGGAGTGCACAGCAGTAATCAACAGTTTTATGGCTTGAGCAAAGATCACATAGCACAAGACAAGTTCAATCGGAACCGAATGTACACGACTTGTGCCGGAATTTAATCGATGACGCAGCCTGAGAACAAAAAAATGCACGCCGGAATTTAATCGACAATGAGGCACCTAAAAGTTACAACAAAGATACACATCAGAATTTAATCAACGACGCAAATTTGAAACCTATAGCTAAGAAACATGCTAGAATTTAATCCTCGAAGCAAATCCGGTAACTATAACACAGTGCATGAATTGAAAGATAACATGTTTGTTTGTTTGTTTGTTTGTTCGTGGGCGGTTTCCACAGTGCACGAACTCTAGTATTTATTGCATTTACAACATAATTTCAGCAGTTTTAGTATTGCCTTCAAATATTCAGTTCTTTCGCTTCCATATCTTCACGTTGCCACAACTTCTTATCTTAAGATGAATAACTTCCCCATTGTATCTATGATTATAAGAAGCTACGGTAAAACTTATCCACAAGAAGCTCAAATATCCAAAAATATCACTAGTAGGCAGTTACATATCAATATCGATGTCGATGACTTCATCCCAGATAACAAACGTTTGTTGTCGATAACTTCCTTGGTTGTCGATGCTCTTCGAGCTGTCGACATTTATCTGAAAGAGCTTAAGTATCCCAAAATCTTGCTATACTCTTCAAGTTGTTGACATTTATCTAAAAGAGCTTAAATATCTGAAAATATTGCTACTCATCAAGTTGTCGACTTTTGTTTTTTTATTGATGACTTTTTCTTTTGACCAAGCTTTGCTCTCATCAACTAAGTCTATTACTTGTCCATAATAACCAAAATTGATCATTTTTTGGTGCAAACAACACCACAATACCAAAGATCAATCATCACTCAAAAACTGATTTCTTAGTGGGCTAATATATATATAATGGAGACTAATTTCGCATCGGGAATTGAATAGCTTCATCAGCATCTTACTAGGTAGCAGGAACAAACTACCCCACAAGCTAATATAAACATATACTTTCTGAAGTTGAAGAATAGCGTTTTACTAAGGTTTTTCTTGGCTGAATCTGTTTGTATGAATAATGCAGGCAAAGTCCCACATCAGGCAACTAAGGAGATACTCTAGGCCTTATAATAGGTTAGGTTCCCACTCCAGAAAAGCTAGCTTAGCTTTTCGGGATGAGTTCTTACACGCCCGGTAACGCATTAGAGAACCCCATTGAATATGTTAACGAGAACCCTTTTTCAGGGCTCAACAGCTTTATAGCCTGAGTAAAGATCACATGGCTATGCAATGAATCGGAGTGCAATGAAGGGCTCAACAGCTTTATAGCTTGGCGACTCCACTAAAGACTTAGCTATAGACCATAGAGGACGTAGGCCTAGAAAAAAGCTTGATTGTTTGATGACTAACGTGGTTTTCATGGCAGCGAGACTTGGTTATAGACCATAGAGGGACTTAGGCCTAGAAAAAAGCTTGATTGTTTCTCGACTAACATGGTTTTCATGGCAGTGCATATCATAGACCATAGAGGGACTTAGGCCTAGAAAAAAGCTCGATTGTTTCTCGACTAACATGGTTTTCATGGCAGTGCATATCAAAATCGCGTGGAAAAAGAGGTTAGTTCCCTAACAAAGTGTTAAATGTTGATGCGGGTTGAAGGTTATAAAGGGTGGGCTATTTGTTGACCTATGTGTCTTGCAAGGAGGTGTAGGAATATATGTTTAAATGGGTGAATATAGAAGTGGTGTTTTGATATAAACCTGTTATGCATGCCTTTATACGTTTTAGCATTACACTTTTACAAACAATTTGCGGTCTATACGGGCTCTTTGGCGTCATTTTGGGCCGCCAAATTTAATCTCCCTTGGCACAACGGGTCTTGGCAACATCTTCTCCGCTGGGCGTCCACATCCATTGCTGGCAACAGCTTCCATCACCGCCTTGCTCGGTTTGCACTTGGAGCTCTATGCCACCTCGTTTGGATAGAGCGTAACAACTTTCTATTTAGAAATGGGACCATTTTCCTACCTGCGATGCGGAACCATCTTGTCAAAGCTGTTCGAGATAAGGCTCTTTCTCTTAAGTCTGTTGCAGATACTCCGTGCAATAGAAGAATCCAGGCCAGGGACATCCCGACATCTATTTTTCTTAATGTTCTGTAGTTGTTGTTCCTTTGTGGCTCTTTAGTCCGCTTGTTAGAGGTTCAGCTCGTTCTTCTTAACACCCGAGCCCCTGCTGCTTGTAGCGTCCGCTAGCTTTAGTCAGCCGCTACACCTTTGCAACTATCGCAACACCTGTGTTGTACGAGGTTTTTGTGTACGGCTTTTTCTGATGTATCTTGTGAATTGAAAAGTATATAATCCTCTTACCTTATCCAAAAAAAAAATTTGCGGTCTAAAACGCGGACGGCACTTTTAGGAAACCCCCTAGGATGTGTCGCGAATAGATGACCCTGTCGGCATTTTGCAACTATTGGCGAAGCATTCTCGGCCCCACTCATCTCGCGAAAGAAAAGACATACCAAATGCGTACTTTAGGTTTCCAGCAAACAGTAATAGCACTTTTGCAATAGTTGACATAATCAAAACTTGATCATAACTCCGCATGCCTTTTGAAAAGTCTAGTCATATAAGTTAAAGAATTAATGTGGGCAACGGGTGTTAAAGCATATTAATACAGAGACTCGGAGATGTGTTTATAGAATATATCCCTGTCATTAGAATGGAATCTTTTGTTTCTTCTTCCATATATCCGAGTATTGTGTGCTCTCAGTTGATGAGTCGACCAAATAGTGATCGGATGGATCAAGCCATCTAATCTCACACCAACATCGGAATAGCTTTAGAACCGGTTATTCTCAAATGCCATGGCACCAAACTTGGAACGATCAACAACCACCAGTTTAAAAAAATCCTCAGATTTCATTGTTGAATTTCAAGTGTGGTCGAAATAGTCGTAAGAGGTTGCCATTTTTGCGGGCCTTACCTCGTCTAAGCCAAAGTCTATCACTTTCTCTCCGAGATCTACAGATTCCTGCACATTGAACCTGTTGAGGAGAGTAATGCAAGAGATGATGGAAAGTCAAGCCTGCCACAATCCCTCGTTTTACGGACCATAGCTTGTCTAGAGCAATGCAGTAGACATTGAGGAATTTTGGTGCTACCCTATTATTACTTACTAATCGTGTGATTGTCGCACTTATCTCACAGACGTTCTCAATTTCTTTGGGATGTTGGTTCATAGTAAATCGATCGATTTCTTGAACCAGACGGATCAATGCACACAAAACACATTCGTGCGACATGACAAGCATATGTACATTAGAAGCAACCTACGTCTTAGACACCATAGTACCGCATATCAATCATCACTCAGGAACTAATTTCTTAGTAAGCTAATATATAATAGAGACTAATCTCACATCACGGATTGAATAGCTTCATCAGCATATTACATAGTAGCAAGAATAAACTAACCCAGGAAGCCGATATGAACGAAAAGTTTCCGAAGTTGAAGAATAGCGTTTCACTGAGGTCCTTCCCCGCTGAATCTGTCTGTGAGAACCCCGCTGAATATGTCTATGAGAACCGTTTTGGAGTGCAATGAAGCGCTCAACAGCTTTATGGCCTGAGTAAAGATCACACGGCACAAGACAAGTTATGAATAAGGGGTGCTTGAGAAAAGACACCGTGGCTGCTTTTTTCGCATGTTTTAGAATGCGTACTTCAGGTTTCTAGCAAACAGTAATAGAACTTTTGCAGTGGCTCACATAATAAGAACTTGATAAAAAATCTTTATACCTTCTAAAAAAGTCTGGTCATATAAGTTGAAGAATTAATGCAGGCAACGGGTGTTAAAGCATATTGATACATAGGTTTGGAGATGTGTTTATAGGATATATCTCAGTATTTAGAAAGGAATCTTAGTTTTTTCTTCCATATATCTGCGCTTTGATGTGCTCTTTGTTGATGAGTTAACCAAATAGCGATGGGATGGATCAAACCTTCTAATCTCATACAAACATTGTAGTAGCTTAGGAACCGGTTATTCCTTTATGCCATTGTACCGAACAGACATACAACCACTAGTTGAAAATCAAACCATCAGATTTCATTGTTGAATTTCATATGTGGTCAAAATATTTGTAAGAGGTTGCGACTTTTGCGGTCCTTACCTCGTCCAAGCCAAAGTCGATCACCTTCTCTTCGAGATCCCCGTTTTCGTGCACATTGAACCTGTTGAGGAGAGTAATGCAAGAGATGGTGGACATGGGCTTTACAGCCAGATCGTCCATCACCATGTACGTGATGACGCCTCTCACATAACCACCCTTTCCATCGGGTAACTTGGCTGAGGATGGGGCACCGGCAGCTGGTCCTGCGACCCACGACAGTTCCTTGCTCATCGCATTGTTGCAACCTAGTTTAATTCCTAAGACGAATTGGATAATATCTTAATCAAGATAATTCATTTTCATTATTTATTAATTACGAATTTAATTTTAAAAAATACCAAAAACATCATCTTAGAATAAGTTAGATTCTTTTCTAGGATAGATTGCATGCTTAAATTAGGGTATTTAATTAATTCCGAATTTTAAAAAAATATTAAAAAATAGCATATGCATGTCATGTAGTCTAGGTCATATCATATTGCTATGTCACGTGCATGTCATATAGTTTGAATATTAGGCTCATTTAATTAGAAATTGCACGTCATATAGAATTAGGTGCATAAATTCCATGTCATGCCACGTCATTAATTGCATGTCATATAGCTTGTATGTTAGAGTTATTTAATTAGGATTGCATGTAATGCTAGAATAGTTGCATTAATTCTTGCCCATCATTAGAATTAGGTCATGTAGTTAAATAGCATGCCATGCTAGAGTAGATAATATTTTCTACGTCATTGCATTTAGAATAAGTTTACATCATATGCATTGCACATAGTTGAGTTCTCATTAAATAAGAGAAAACACAAAAAGAATTTATTGAAATTGTGTGGTAATTAGAATCATATTTAGGTTAAGATGTGTGTTTCTAATTAACGTTTAGTGCAGATGATTGTGTTGCTTCGAGGTAAGTAAATTCCCTCCTCACCCTTGCAATTTATTTATCGCTTTGATTATTGGGTGTTTCATTAATGGTTGCGCACCCGCATGATCACCTCACATGTTAGTAGCTAAGTTACAATGAATCCAAGCTACCTGCTAAACATTTTTAAAATAAAAAGAGAAAATGTACCGAAAGGGCATTAGAGTGATCTAGCGTAATCAAGTCCCCGAATCCATAATCTATTGTTCGCAGGAGTAAAGTAATTCTCTTGATACTTTACTTGAGTTTATAACTAACTCACCAAAAATTAGATTAGTGGCAACTCTTAGTTGAAATAATTTGGCATGTTAAGAAACTTGAACCTTAAGTTGCGTATTAGTATGGGCTTGGGAGAGCGAACTAGGTGAAAACTTAGTAATCCATTAGCTAACCCCTAGATGGTGCACCGTTCGGCGAGGTCACGACAGTCCTAAAGGTATCAAAGCCGCTTAAGTGATCATGCAAATTTTCTAGAGATGGTTAATTATGATCCTTAACGAGTCCTGTCCATTCTAGAAAGAGAAATTAACAAACAATTTATTGAAGTGCAATGCAGTAAAGAAACACTCAAGTATTGAAAGCATCTAAGTAAAGGTATGGAAAATGAAAACCCCATACAAGTCGGGCAAAGAATGTACATGGCCTCATTATAAGCCTCCTCCGTAAGCTAAACCCGATACTAAGTAGGGAAAAGAATAGACAATGCGTTGTTATTGAGCCTTGGGACATGAACCCCCGTAAGCTTGAGATTAGAGACTATTCCTATTTACACACCTAAATCTACTCATTTTATTAAGTGATGAGCCTAACCTAATCTAAACTAGACATTTCTTAAAAGAATGATGCTAAGTCTAAGTGATTTTTATTTACTAGCTAAGACCTAGGCTAGATTGTTCATTAAATCCTAAGTTCATTAACTATACTAGCCTAAGCTATACTTATTTTGGACCAACTCCTTGGCTTCTCATCGACCGCCGGTCTTCAAGCTCACGGCCTGAAACAGCCCGAATTTCGATGTAGTTCCGGGATCAATAAAATTGACAATATTTCGCATTTCATTTTAGTAAGTCTCACCTAGAGCTGATCACTCTCGGGATACTAACCAATAGGGTATGGCCAATTAGAAAGCGGTACGTGAGCCAAGGATCCGATCGCGAAGCGGACACTGATCACGAGAAATGATGAGAGAATATTATAAATCAATGTGAATCGATCTTAGGAAAAGTAACGGATTTGGTTTGGCCAAGGCCAACGATGTACAATCGGATCGCAGGTGATTCTGCATGACCGAGAGTGCACGTGGCCAACCAATCCTGAACTTAAACCGGACGATCGTGACCTCTGGGATTGGTGATAATTTCTCATTCTCTCAATGATCAGGACCGTCATGACTCGGATAACCCTAGGTCGATACGCGTAACCTCTAGACAGCCGTCCGTTAGTGAGAGACCTTAAAATTGGAAATCGAGCGAGTTTTAGTCACGAAATTGGACCCGGACTTTGATACCGATTTTCGAAGGCTTAAGAGACTATTTTTGGGAATCTGACGTCATATCACGCTGGCCACACACGTTCGGAGTTAGTACGAGTAAAAATTGGAATTTCGGTCCGGGGGTGAAAAAATTACAATTTTGCCCCTCGGGACGCCATCGTTGTTTTTCGAGGCCAAATGAGGTTATTTTTCGAGGCCGACGCCTTTTTTGGGTGGCCACGCATACCAGGAGTCGTTATGGCCAAAAATTAGAATTTCGACAAAAATTGAAAAAATAATATTATTTTATTCCCGAAACTTCGACGTGGATTTTCGAAGGCTTGCGCGATGAATTTCGCGATTCCGACACCACATTATGTTGGCCACGCTCATGGAGGGTTGGTACGTGCAAAAATTGGAATTTCGCCCCGGGGCCGGAAAAATGACGGTTTTGCCCCTGGGCCGTTTTCGAGTCCGAATTTTTGGGAAAATTTTTGGATAATTATGGAGGGTTTATCAGCTGCATTATTGGCCCCAAAGACCATTTTACCCTTCACTTTTTGGATAGGATCGAATTAGAACCGTTAGATTAGGAGCGTTTTGGTCAAATGGCTCGGATCGGTGACACGTGGCGCAAGGGGCTGCTATTTCTTGACCTGGTCAGACCAGTTTCTCTCTCCTCTTCATTTCTCTCGGCCAGAACAGCCCCCAGCCAGCAGCTCCCTCTCCATTTCTCTCTTTTTCTCTCTCGGCAAGCTTTGCCGGAGCTCGCCGCCGGCCGCCGGAGCGCCGCCGCTGGCCACCGTGCCTCGTCGTCGACCACCTCTGTCCCCGGCCTCAGTCTCAGCCACACCCAACCCATTTCTCTCTCTATTTCTCTCTCTTTCTCCCTCTTTTTCTCTCTTTCCGTTCGGCAAATAGGGCCGCCGGAGCTTCGCCGGAGCTCCGATCGCCGCACCGTCGCCACCCAGCCGTCCAGCCTCACCGTACGACGCCGACCGTCCCCGTCCGTACGGTGTCCCCGTACGGTCGGTACTGTAGCGTCCATACGCCGCCGTCCGTACGACCCGCCGTGGCCGTCACCGCCGTCTCGCCAGCCATCGTTCCCTCGCAGTCCGTACAGTGTCCGTACGCCTCCGTGAACAGTACCGCCGTGAACAGTACGCGCCCGGGAATTCCGCCGCCGGTTTCACTGTTCATCAGTGATCGGCCGCCGTTCCCCGTCGCCGTGGTTTAGAAATTAAGTGAGTAAAATTCCTAAACCCGGATTAGGACTGATAGTGCGTTTTTTTGGACTGGTTTAGGTATTATCGGTGTATAATTCGGACTGGATTGAGGACTGATTAGTGGAAATAAAATCCGAGGAATTTAGTGGGATTATTATGGACAATTATTGGGCCCGGATTGAGAAAATAGCGGCTGTCCATATTTTTGAGGAATGTACCGGATTATAATGGACAGCAAGAATTATTAGCTGAATAGCCAGAATTACCCAGAATGATTGGTTGTTGATTGATTGATGATCAATTGTGTTTAATTGCGAAATGCTATATTGCGTGCTTGTGTGGCTGAATCGTGCGGAGTGTGATTGGCCAATTGATGGCTTGAATTGTGTATTTGGAATTTGGCCGCACAGTATTAATAGGCCAAGTAAGCACGTGGCTTGTGAATTAGGCATTGTGGAATGACTTTGATTGAACTGTGTGCCTGTGCCTATGTTATGTGGATGCTCATGTTGTATTTCATGGCACGCATTATGAATGCCGAGAATGAGGCTTGTGATGAAATTGTGTGAGACTGCGTGCCTGTCATGAGCATGTGATCACATAAAATACCCTGATGCGTGTTACGCGGGGTTCAGATAATAATGGGTTGTGTGATCACCTAAGGGCCTTCGGGTCGTGACCTTCGGGTCGATGCCGTCCTCATGCACTTTGAAGCAGGACGATGCCCGGTACGTCCGGAAGGCGACCATCCTCATGCACTTTGAAGCAGGCTCTGGTTCGTAAGGAGATCAGTGTTGTGCCTCATGCACTTTGAAGCAGGCTAGAGACACTGGG